ATACCATTGCTTAGTTAAGTGACGGATTCATGCAGGAGCTGCCACAAATATTAATAAGCCAGCTGTGTTAAAAACAGATCACTCATCATCATGAGCCAAAGCCTCCTAATGCCCCATAATGTTTAATAATTAACTTGTGACATCTTGAACTTGCGGGGGACCCCGTGAATCTCAGCTGAATTCTCTGAATGACACACACTTGCCCTTTCTGTGCTGCTTTCTATCACCTGGGATACTGATGTGATGGGAGCGGTCGTGTTGAGGTGCATTATTTCCTGTGCTCTGTGCCCCGCTTTGGGCATCAGTTCCCAGGGAACCAGGCGCCCCGGATGGAGCTGTTCTCCTCAGGACTGAAAGCAAGGGTACTAATTTTAAAATATATACATACACATATACGTATACCCCCCCACACACACACACGGTATCAGTCTCTTAGAGCTGCTATAACAAATTACCACAACCCAAAGCAATCAACAGATTCAATGCAATCCTCACCAAAATACCAATGGCAATTTTCACAGAATTAGAACAAATAATCTTAAATTTTATATGGAATCACAAAAGACCCTAAAGAGCCACAGTGATTTTGAGAAAAAAAGAACAAAACTAGAGGTATCATGCTATCTGATATCAAACTATACTACACGGCTATACTAATCAAAATAGCATGGTACTGGCATTAAAACAGACACATAGATCAATGGAACAGAATAGAGAACCCAGAAATAAATCCATAACTATGTGGTCATTTAATCTATAACAAAGGAGGCAAGAATATACGATGGAGTAAAGACAGTCTATTAGAAAAATGTGCTGGGAAAACTGGACAGACACATGCAAAAAATGAAACTGGACCACCTTCTTATAGCATATACAAGAATAAACTCAACATGGATTAAAGACTTAAATGTACTACCCAAAACCATAAAACTAGAAGAAAACATAGGCAGTAAGCTCCCTGACATCACTCTTAGTGAGATTATTTTCTGATCTATCTCCTCGGGCAAGGGAAACGAAGGAAAAAATAAACAGATGGGACTACATCAAGCTAAAAAGCTTTTCACAGCAAAGGAACCCATCAACAAAACAAAAAGACAGCCTACTGAATGGGAGAAGCTATTAGCCAATGATACATCTGATAAGGGGTTAATATCCAAAATTTATAAAGAACTCATGCAATTCAACACCAAAAAAACAAACACTCCAATTAAAAAATAGGCAGGGGACCTGAAGACACATTTCTCCAAAGAGGACATACAGATGGCCAATAGACATCAATGTCACTAGTCATAAGAGAAATGCACATTAAAACCACAACGAGATATCATCTCACACCTGTCAGGATGGCCGTCATCAATAAATCATCAAACAAGTGTTGTCAAGGATGTGGAGAAAAGGGAACCTTCGTGCACTGTTGGTGGGATTGCACAGAGGTGCATAGTAGGTCTTCAACAAAGTGTAATGCGAATATTAGGAGTCATGGTGACTGTCGTCATACTTGCGCAGGCCATATTATAAAAGTTATACAATGGCTCTGCTTTTCCCTTAGGACTTCAAAAGTCATTCGAGAGTCCATTTCCACCTCATGCCACTTCTAGGATGAAAGTGAGCAGCCCCTTGAAGCCCATCTCTCTGGCATGAGTGATGCTGGGAAACGTGACTGGGAATGAGGAATTGTGGCTGGCACCCAGACATCACCCCGGTGGGCAGACCAGAGCCAGGGAAAGCGACACACTATGTAAAGTGTCCTGAAGATGGATCTGAATTGTTCCAGGGTGACAGTCAGCGGTAGTTCAGAAACTGGCCCCTTCCAGGGCAAGTGGTCCAGGACTAGCAGACATGCCCTCTCAGAGCCGGTGTCCTTGGCCCAGTGAGCAAGGGCTCTGCGGTTAAAGTCACGGCACACAAAGCCACTTAAAATTAGTCTTTTATAAATTCTTCTGGAGTTTCGCTGCCTCTACTGCTTGTTCACGCTAGACTCTAATAAAACATGGCATCTAATTGAATAAAGAATATCCTCTACGACTGTATTTGTAACGAGAATACAATTTATTGAGGACCTAGTATGCAGCAGTTCTTGTGCTGAGTGTTTTATGTAATCATCCCATTTCATCCTTACAACCACCCCTATGCAGCGCATGTAACTATTTTCATATTATAGTGGAGAAAAACGAGGCTCTGAGACATTAAGTAATGTGCCCAAGGCCTCACAGCTCACAAAACTCAGGGGTTTTTTTTTAAAGTTAAATTTAATATCTCATCAAATCACCGTTTCTCAAATGAAAACTGATCTTGTAAAATGTTACTGGAAGAATCTAGGTGTGGGACCCCTGGCATGCATTGTAAAATTCTTTCAACTTCGCTGTATGTTAGAAATTTTTCATAATAAAGTATTAGGAAAGAAAAACAATGCAACGTGATTTCCAGGTGTTTTTCACCTGAACCAACTTGAGAACCTTGAAAGACTTAGGAAAGCTGGCTTACCTCCCTGACTTGAGTTCTAGTTGGCAGGGTTGGTCCTGCCACCTTTAATGCCAGTCCCTCCAGGACACCAGGTGACTCAGGCACTCCTGCCACATTCCGCCACGCTCCTCTGAACATTAGAGTAGGTTCCCTTCATTCAAAGAGGACACAGCTTGGTAGAATATTAAAGAATTCGACTTTCTGGAACCTTCCCCCCAAGGTTCTTCTACAACCAGATCAGCAAAAATGATTCATCCTGGGGTCTCTGCCTGCCCTTTCACCCTGATTGTAAACTGCTTCCCTATTTAGCATTCCTCCCAATTACTCTGTTCTAGGGCCTAAATTAAGATGGGATCACTGTTGTGTGTGGGGCGCGGTGTGGGGGTGGTGGTGTGGGGGGTGGCGGGCAGAGAGGTACACTAGCTGCATTAGTGAGTCCCCAAATGCAGTGGACGTTCGGCCCTCACAGTAATTATTTTGCGAGAATAATGCGATATGTATCCATCCATCAGGTGCTCAACCTAGAGCATGATATGAAATATGAAGAGTTACTGCTTGCGTGTAATTTACATAACTGTCTGCCGAATCTCTCACGGATAATTAAGAAAAGGAAATGCATAATTTAAAAGATACCTGGCTTCTGCGGCGCTTTTGTGTGTTTTGACTGACAGTGGCAACCGTTATCATCATCATCATCATCATCACTTTCATCATCATCATCGTCACTTTTAAGGACCAATGATTGTAAGATCTCACCCAGGTACACAGCACTTGACAGTTGCAAAGCCCTTTTGTACTCACCACTGCCACCTAGGGGCAGGGCAGCCGGCAGGAATTACCTGCTCCATTTTTCAGATGCAGAAACTGAGGCTCCGCATATGGCAGTGACTGATGCTGCTAGCTCCTGCTAAGGTGAGGTTCGGACCCGGCCTTCCTGACTCTCCGAAGCAGGACTGGGTTCCCTCTATTCCTCTCTCTGCTTCACCTGGCAACTCCGCCTTCACCGCCCTGAGTTTGTGGGCTCACGCCGGTGTACCCTCCCTCAGGAGGGGATGATTGGCCAGCTCAGGTCACGTGCTCACCCCAGATCCAATCCACGGCAGGAGACTTGGCTCTGCCCACCAATGGCAGCTCCCACCTAACTCCTATTGAGAGTATGGGAAGGGCCCTTTCCCAGAAGGAGCCCGCGTTTGGATCTTCCCACCCCTACCCCACAGAGGCTTCAGGAAGAAGGCTCCCAGAAATCTTCCTCTCCAAGGGCCTGGGCCCAGAAACGCCTGGCTCCTGCAGACTTGCCCCTCCAAGCTGCAGGCAGGAAACCGGATCCCCATGTGGTCTCCCCGTTTTCTGCCCCTCATCCTGAGGCTTCCATTTTTGTGATCAGACCCCAGGATCCCACCTCTTCTCTGCCAAGACCTCAATGCACGGCATCGAGAGCTGCTCAGATGTCCCCTGTGCTCTCCTTGTCCCCGGAGTTGGTTCTTGGGACTGTCTAGCTCCACACCAGCTCTTCCCCTTCCGGTCAGCTGAACAGGCCCAGGCCCCGGCAGGCCTGGGCCTGGCTGGACCCGGCCTGGCTTTGAGGGACCAGTGCCCCAAAATGAGTGACCTCAGAAATCCTGGGAGTTCCCAAAGGTGGCGAGAGACCATATTCCGCAGAGTTGGAGTAGTGCTGGCTTGAATGATTAGAACACCAGCCATACTGAAATCCCAATGAGGCTAAAGTCCCATGGGTACCAGGGTCCAGGCTGCTGAGATGAGCTGGGGCACAGGACAGGCTCTGAGGTGTGAGCAGGAGGACTAAAAAAGGCGGAGTTAGCTCAGGGCAGGATTTGGAGGAGAGGCGTGTGTGGGAACAAAGGGCTGCATGCTGAATCCCTACAGTTCCAGGTGGGCCCTGGAGCATAGGGTGCTTGCCTGCCCCCCCCCACACACACACAGGCACACACGGAGGTTGGTGTTGGGACATTCCATAAATCCCATCCGTCCACGTCTCATCTGACAGGGTTTTAGAGAGGAATGGAATTTGGAGTCTGATAAACAGAATTGGAATCCTTTGTCCTTAAAAAGTTGTGTCACTTTGGGCAGTTGAGTTCCGCTCTCTGAGCCCAGTTTGCCCACCTCTAAATTGGGCACGATCACGCCTACCCTAATGAGCTGCCAGGAGGAGTAAACAAAGCAACACATGCCAAGTGCCCAGGGACTCAGCACATACACTCGTGGTCTCTCCTTCCCAATGAAGATAATTGTTATTTCTCCCCAGTGATTTCTGGAGTGGATCAGAATGTCCACGAGGGACACGACCAGAAGCTAGAGCTCAGTGACTTGCCTGGCAGGGCTGGGCATGGGCGTGGAGTGTGCTTGAGCCATGCTCCTCAGACGGTGGGCACAGTACCAGAAATGGAATGGGTGGGAGGCTTTTCCAATTTACACACCGGGTCCCACCCCAGAACCTTGAGACAAAGGCCTTGGGGAACATTCCAGGCCCTTTGATAGTGGGGAACCCCCTTGTTGAAAGACTTTCATGCACAGGCCAACAGGAGAACCACAAAGCTGTTTATTTTCCCAGCTATGATAAGAAAAGACAATGCAGGGAGCAGAGAAAACCCAGCCATTCTCCTGGTGATCATACTGGGGCCACACACAAACCTAACAGGCCGTGTCTTTACCAAGGGGTGTTTCTGTTTCAACAGACCGCAATTTACCTTCCCAGTGCTCCCCAAGGCATTGTGTCATGCTGCTCTGGGCAGAATTGATCATACCTACTAGTCTACAGCAGCTGTGTCCTTAAAATTGGGCATACAAAATCTGATGGGCTAAAAAAGTACTGAATGTCAAAATTCATGTAATCAGGGCAAAAAGTGGTCTTCTCTTGGCATTTGCACTAGCTAACCCCTGAAAAATGTTTTTCTTTCATTGGTCCTTAGCAATGCCCAGCTTACAGGGAGCAAAATTTAACGATTGCATTAAAAATTAGGCAACATTTTCAACCAAATAGTTGAATAATTAGACTCATTTAAACACCAAAATACATCAAATGGACTTATGCATCTGGCCCAGCTTAATACATGTCTGCCTAACACTACAAACAAATACATAAAAATCAGGAAATGCCTGGGAGGTACAAACAGGGACAGGGCACAGTGGTTGGCAGCAATGACTTGGCCTGGAGGTGCAGACTTGGCTGCCCCGTGGCCCCACCTTCAGAACCAGTACTCAGAGACGAAGATGTGGACATTGACGACATTTCGGTGGGACACCACACCCCCGACAACGTAGTTCATCTCTAGCTTCAGGACAGCGTGAAACGGGCCCACGATGGGCCGCACCTGGCGCACCACACCTGGAGAGAGAGCAGAAGGTGTTCTGGAAGTTAGCAGGGGCCATAGTAACACGGAGACCTGGGAAAGGATTTCCCTCAAGGAATTTCAGAGCTATAAGGGGACTTAGACCTCATCAGATCCCACTTGAGCCAGATGCTTGAGTCCCCTGCATAGCCTCTCTCTCCAAGTGGTCATGCCAGGCTCCGTTCCACCTCCAGGGACGGTGACAGTGAGCTCACTACTTCCCATTGTGTGCAGCTTGGACTGTGCGGGAATCTATGCGGCGGGCTTTGCAGTCAGATGGCTCTGGCGTCAATACCAGCGCCTGCTCACTCCCAGCCCAGGTTTCCTCCTCTATCACTATCCCCCCGACAGAGGACTTAAGAGCCCAGAAAAGGGCCTGGCATGAGGTAGATGCCCAGTAGACACCTGTCCCCTCCTTCCTGCCCATCGTGTCCAGTTCTGACCCTTGGGTAGAAACAAAGCAGGTGTGAGTCTCTTCCTTGTCATATTGAGACTTGCACTGGGGTCCTAGACTCCCTTTATCCAAGCACAGGAGTCCCCAGGGGACATGCCCCTGGATCCCCCATTCTCCACACCTGTGTGGAGGGTGACATCTCAACTCATTGTTCAGTGTTTGTGGTAATAGGTGAGTAAGAGGTGGCTTGAGTGACAGGGGCTTGGAGCGGATCCAGCCGAGGCAATCAGAAGGAGGACAGGAGACAGAGGAAAGACAAGTGTCAGTTCTGGGGAAGCAGAAACCTGCTGTGTGAAACTGCTGGGGTGGCAGGGACTTCTGCCTGGACCAGGGTAGGGACCAGGCGAAAGCCGTGACTGGTGCCTTTCCTGCTGGGGCTCAGAGCATGGGTCACAGACAAAGCTCAGCTGGGTCGGGATGGAAAACGGAGCAACCTCAGGCATTCCGCAGATTGAAAGGGGAGCAGGACTGGGTGGTAAGAGTAGACTCCATAACTCTCTCCAACCTGGGCCTGGTCAGGCCCTGCTGGCACCGCCTTGCCTCTGCAGGGCACCCAGAGGCTCACGAAAAGAGCTCTTCTGCACGCTGGGTTGAGACAGACGGGGCTAAGGTGAGTGTTATCATCCTGGCTAGACTGGAGAGAGACTGCCACCCTTTGCAGGCCTCGGGTTCCTCAGCGAGCAAATGATTCCATGTGACCCTGTGCTTCTGTATTGCATGATCCAGGCACCCCAGTACAGCATCTGCCAAAGATGTGAGCTCCAGGTGTGCGGGGCAATCTCCCCGCCAGACCTCCACGTGCACTTATGCGTTCCTCAACAGGCACACGAGCTGTTCTCAGCGATGCAGAGAAAACAACTAAAATCCTGCTTTCAAAGCTGATGAAGGGTCTAGGTAAGTGCCTCGCTCTGACAGAAGTTGGCACGTTGTTCTGCAAGGGCCAGAATGGAGGTGAGGAAGGTTGGGGCATCAGGAGAGGCTTTCTGGAGGAGGTGACCCTCTGTGCAGAGGAAGCCTGCAGGCTGATCCTCTGTGCTTGGAGCCGAGCAGGTGCCACCAACAGCCCTTGACATGGATGAACAACGCCAAGGTCCCTCCTGCTCTGATGGTGGGACTTGCTCAAAGTCTTCTGGTGCTGGGTATGCTGGAACTGCTCAACGACCAGCTCTCTGGTTGGACCATAGGACGATTTCTGTGGCTGGTTTCAAGCTCCCAACGAGAAGTCGCTGCAGGCGGGGTGGGAAGAGCATGTACGCGGGGGCTCCCGCTCACCACCGTCTGAGGCTCGCAATGAGCAATGGAGCCTGCAGCCCACACCACTGTTCAGAAACAGCCACCCACTGTTTCCTGTATCAGAGTGCTGGTTCCAGGCTGGTTTCCACAAGCAGCCCTGCTGCAGACATAAGAAATGTGCAGGGTGGCCTCGTCAGGCCCTCGGTGCCCGCCCGCCGGACATGCAGCAAAGCTTCGAGGAGACGGAGAGGTCGCAAAGGCCTTCGGCACCAGAGGCTGGTTCCGGGGCAGGGGCACCAAGTTCACGCTCAGAGGGGGAATTTGGGCGCGCCGACCCCCCCCTTCACTCCCTGGTCTTATGTTTCAAAAGTGAAATGCCCAGCAGCCGGGGTGGAATTCCAGGCTATTCTAAGCAAACAAGGGCTTTAGCTCTGATGGAGAGATAAGCACAGGCTTCTGCGGGCTGTCAGCACCCTTTCTCTGCCTCTGCTCGGCGATGACATTGCAGCTTTGTCCTGTTTGAACGCCCACGAACATCTTCAGCTCCCGGCTAAAGACGCGGGCTTGTCACCACCCTCGGGTAGCCAGAGGCCCCTGATGACCGGGCCACTCCTGCCGGCCCCTCCCTGGGCACAGTCTGGGCTGGGGTTGGTGTG